TTTCCATTTTTGGAGAGGATATAGGATCTACACAGCCAATAAAAAGTTCAGCGACTAAGTGACTTGCACTATAGTAATAACTTTATTATTCGATAGTTCTTAATACTTTTGTATTACAAAAAGAACTTTTTTGATTTTGCTCATGATCATTGCAATTTGTTGTCATTCCAGTTTGATATTAAATTTTCATTGCATTTGACTAGTCCGGATTCATCCATAAGTTATACTCATATTTCAAACATGAAAAGTCAATTACTTTATTGAAGGCTAATATTAATTCAATATCTGATAGCAACTTGTTCGCATTCGAAGCGATGTAATATGTTACATCAATATAATAAATTATTACGTCATGTATTCCAACACATGTAAATGTTGACAACAAAATTCAACCAAGTATATATATTTTTTGAAAACATGAATTATAAAAAGAAAATTTCTATCAATCTATGGATAAATTTTTTTTTTTTCATAATAAAATTATACAAAATTTTTTATGGTTTTATTGCTTATGTCTTCTATAATAAATCTATAGAGAGTTTTTTGCCATATCTCATTTGGTTGTAAAGTTTTTCTATTAGCAAACTTTTTTCAATTTCCTTACAATATATAAAAAAAATTTTTTTTATTTGGCAAGAAAAACTCTCTATAGACTAAAATTTTGATATATTTACTATAATTACCCTTAGTTTCATGTTTGTGTCTCTTTAGTTGAAAGCTCTGATACAATTTTTATTTTATATAGTTTTTATATATATATTGCTTTTTTTTTGATTTAATTAAGGCAGAAATTTATGGTATTAATTACGATATTTCATTTCCGCCTGACATATTAAGTAATTTGACAAATCTATAAAAGAGACTTCTGGTAAACTTGATAACTTAGTAAGAAAATCAATGAAATGCATTTATCTTTAGTCATTCCATCATTTTTTGCACAACGAACCATTTGAATCAAAAACGTATAGCATTCCTTATAATTATTCGGTTGTTGTTAGTTTCAATACCCATTTCTTTATTGTGTGATCAAGCATATTGACAACATGAATGATTTTATAAGAAAAACAAAATGGGACATTATAAAATCGTTAATAATTACACTATATATTACGTTGGTGATGACTAAATTCGATCCCTGAAATCCTTGGTGGTACAAAGGTTCACTTTGTCTGGTTTTGAAAACAATTGACAAATTTGGACGTTACCTCAATTATAATAATTCGGGGGTCCCGTTGTCAAATTATTACTATATAGTAAGGTTTTGCGGAAAATTCGAAAAACTGCAATGGAATACAGTGAACCCTCTATAAGTGCACCCCCCTCGGGAACATAGTGCTATTTCTTGTGAGCGTGCATTTATGGAGGTGTGCATTTATGGAGGGTGATTTTATAAGCTCTCTATAAGCTTGGGGATGAGATGGGCCGTGCATTTATGGAGGGTATACATAGTGCGTGCATTTAGGGAGGGTGCACTTAGGGAGGGTTCAATGTAGTTAAATAATACATTGGATAGTTATAACGGTGAATTGGTTACGAATAAGTATTACTAATGAATGAAATTCATTTTAAAGTGATAATTTTATGTTTTGTCCAATCAATTTATGTATCATCCAGTCTAGAAAGCTCGCAACAATTAGAACAATTACCTCGATCTGATACAAAATAGGTAAAGGCAGACAGGACTAATTATACAGATCATTTAAACGAATTTTGACCAAATATGGTTAATTATAATTTATCCGAAAAAAAATGACTTTACTGAAATCGTAGTAGTTGTTGATGAATATGAAAATATGGAAAATTTAAAAAAGATTTATAAGAAACAAGTACTCGAGAAATTTGGATCTGATATCATAAAATTTCAAATATACATATACTGTATATGTGTATATATATATATTGTGATGATTCGAATATATAAACAAACTTACAAATAAAATAAAATTGATTTTTTTTTTAAGTGTCTTTCTAAAATTAATAATTTCAGTAGAGCAAGCAGCAGCACCAGAATCCCCAAGATTAATGTCTTTCTGCTGCTTCCCATACAAATCTTCCTTGATTAGGTCTATTATTATCATCATTGTTGTTATTGTTATTGTTATTGTTGTTAATGATATTATTATTATTAACACCACCTCCTGCTCGATTATTATTATTTATATGATTTCTTAATTGTCTAAAATAAACCAATAATGCAAGTAAAAGACAACAGAATAATATGATAAATGTTTCTAATTGATCAAAAACACCGTCTTGTTCACTGTCCTTATCAGGCAGTCCCAAAGAATCCTCCAAATCTTCCTCTCCATTTTTACGCGCATTATACTTTTCAAGTAATTTTTCTCCATCTGGTCCAATAATATCCCATTCTTTTCGTCCTTGCTTGGGACTAGCGCTTTCTTTTGTCATCGAGCGTATTTGTTCAATCGATCCTCCCGTTTCATCCTTTTCACTGCCAATCATCGATTCATCTCTCCATATCTTTTTTTCATGATCATCTACTCCACTACCACCCTCGCTTCCTCCTATACTATATCCTGCTATATATTCCCAAAAACTTTTTAAGGATAGTTTTTTTAATGATAACGTTACTGGTAAATAAGCATAAGGGTTGGCTTCTAATGATTTGTCATACCATCTCTTAGCAAGATTAAAATCCTATATGATTAATTTTATTGTTATTATTTCAAAAATAACAATTAATATACACATCACTCCAATAATTAAAACCTAAAATTCACAACAATAACCTTGGGAAATCCTATTCCATTTTCATACATCCATCCAATATTCCACATAGCCATAGCACTAAAATCAATTTCTGCAGCAACTTGATAACATGCAGCAGCTTTTTCATAATCGGCCTCAGTACCAAACCCTTTGAAATAATAATCGCCCATTTTTACTCTAGAATCGACGTTTCCCTGATTTGCTGACCGAGTCCAATATATTAAAGCTAATTTATCTTGAATAGGATCGAATTCGGGAGTTGAATGTGTTAAATGCCACATTGATTTGTCTTTTATTTTAAAAATTTTTAAAATAAAAAATAATTTAATTTTTTTGTTTTATTATAGAAATAAATAAATATATATATTAATAAATATTAGAAACCTCTGTCTAATAGCCATGCAACGTTTGATTGACCAATCTCATATCCCCTTTCAGCTGCCAATAAATAATAAATCAACGCACTTTCTTTATCACCTGAAGTATATGCTTTATGTGCTTCAGGAAATGGGGAATGAAGCCAATCACCACGTTCTGCGACATTTTTATATAACTATTTCAAAAATATATTAGTTGTCAAAATTAAAAAAAGTACTAAAGATGCATGATAATTTTACAATAAATTGACTTACTGCTGCTGCTGTAGTACATGATTGTTCAACACCTAAACCTTGCGAATACATTTCAGCCAAGTAATAATGAGCAAGTAAATGATATGCCTGATTTGCAGCTTGCTTAAAACATTCAAATGCTGATTGTAATTCGTTTTTTTGAACTAAGAATTTATATGATATAATATATTTGTGTTTATTAAATTATATAATATTGTTTGTTTATAAGTGAATATTATAGGTAATAAAACTAACAATATATTAAACCCAAGTTAACTTGTGCATCAGGATAATCCAAATCTGCTGCATGTTTTAAATATGTCATAGCCATGTCATAATTCTAGATATTAAAAAAATATTTTTTTTGTTTATCTCAAATTATTATCATGTAATTATCTGAAAAAAAAAAATACCTTATTAACTTCAACTCCCTCCATATACATCATACCCATTCCATTTAATGCAGCAGGGTTAGAAAGACTTACGCCTCTTTGAAACCATTTGATGGCAGTTCGGGTATTTTGTTCAACGCCTTCACCTCTCCAATACATTTGACCCAATATACCTGCTGCTTGTCCTACAACTTGAGCAAATTGTGGATTAGTTGGAGGTGGTTCATCCGAAGTTTCAGATGTCCAATGTTGATTCGCTACAAGTTTTAAATATTTTAATGCTCGTTTAAAATTTTGTGGAATGCTTCTTGTTCCTTGATAAAAAAGATTTCCTAAACCTAGCTATTTCGTCAAATCAACAAGAATATTTTATTTCCATAAAATATCGAGATTTTTTATAAAAAATAAAATAAAAAATAAAGATATATATACCTGAGCATTTATATCACCTTTATCAGCCATGTATCGATAATACTCTAATACATCATCCCAGGCACCTTGATCACTTAATTTAGATGCTGAGCTGCCAGCACCAGATCCGCTTGCACCATACCCATAAACACCACCATCTTCATCATATAATCTTATTTTCGTTGGAGGGAGTTGACGACCACCAGGAGGTCCTGATTTGTAATATTCAACAGCTATGTTTTTGTTTTAAAAAAAGAAATCAAAGGATTAATATATACATATACATTAATTAACAGATATAAAATTATTATTATAGATTTTAACCTTTATCTGCTACGCGTTTATAATAAAATACAGAATCTTCACAACTTCTTTCTACACCTATTCCCATTAAATGGCGATATGCCAAAGTCATTTCAGCAGCAGTATCACGACCAAGTGCTGCAAATGTATAATATAACGTTGCCTATAATCCACATACATGCATACATGTTAACAACAATATAATAAAAAAGGATCCTTTAAAACTATATATATATCTATTTTTACCTTTGCCGGATCTCTCTGTATAACATCACCAATCCCAGTTGCATACATAAAACCAATCATTTGTTGAGCTGTCGAATTACCAGATTTAATTGCCAAGTCTCGAAAATAATTAAAAGCTGCAGTAAGGTTACGAGGATGCGTATATTTTGCATACTTGAAATTTTTATAAAAATGATTAATTGTATAAATTTATGTGTGCGTGTGTGCGCACGCGCAAATAATATAAGAAACTCACAAAATTCATGTCACCCAAAGTATACAAAGCATCATCGTGACGATATTCGAAGGCAGCCTTTTTTAACAATTCTATAGCTTTTAATAATTTTAGATTTTTTATTTCTGGTACTGGTCGTTTCCCTATATCTGAAACTTCCATAACTGAAGTTGGTATTCCAAGTACATAATAAACAGCTCTAAGAAAATATTTATATATCAAATTTAAAACATCAAGATCTGAATCATTATCTGTTGATGTCTTTTTGAATGGTGATATCTTCAATGAACGTAACAGCGACCATGCTCTATGAAATAATTCTTCAGCTAAGTATATACAAATAAACAAAATAAATAATTTAAAAACAATCAAATTTTAAAAGAGTTTAATCATTAGAAAAGGCATGGCATACCATTGGCCTTATCATCATTTAATAAGTCGTGTTCTTTGATGTTTGAAGTAGTTGGTAAAGGTTTAGTTGAATGTTGAGTTGTGAATTCAGAAATTTCGCTAGTAACCTCCTCTGCTAGAACTTGGACAAATGAGTTTAAATGAAACTTATGAAATACGCAAACTTAAAAAAGTTTTTTTATAGGGATTTAAAATTTGGTTAATATTTGACAATCTCAAAAATTTTAAATTAAACATATATATTCAAATATTATAAACTTACTAATTATAAATGCAAATAATAAATTTTTGCACCGCATTTTTTTTTTTTTTAACTGGTACAATAATTTATCCTTTGACTATTAAAGTACATTGCAAAGTTAAGGAAAAGATAAATAAAATGGTTTTTTTAAAAATTTTTTATCACAAAATTTGTAAAATCCATCAACTCATTCAACTCATTTTAAAGTATGAGAAAAAAAATTACTTTTGATTATTATTATTATTATTTATCAAACAAAAAAAAATTACGAGTCAAAAATCGCCACGATTTGTTATTTTTATTGTCACGTGTGGCTTTTAAGGAAATAATTTTTAATTTGCTAGTACCTAGCTTCTTTATACCTCTCTATAATCTTTGCACTACTCGGCATAAGGCATTACCAGTCCTGTCCGTAGGACACTCTTTAGTTATCAATTCTTAAATCAGGAATATTTTGAACCTAATTAAATCATCAAGTTATTTGTTGAGTAAAATGAACTCTTATGAAGGATTAGTTTTGGGAAATTTTACAAATTGGACCTACCAGCCTTTCTTTTCCATTCTAGCAGCTAATCTTTTTAGACTTTTCCAGAATTATTATTTGATTTCAATTTTACTGTCTTGTCATAAAATCCGAAGCAAGGATTCATCTTACTTTATGAAACACATACGAAAAAGTGTAATATCACGTATTTAGAAAAGTGAGAAAAATAGTCTCGGTATAGAAAGTTTATTTACATAATCCCAATTAAAATTAATATTATGCTAACTTTTAATGAAACAATCGCCTTGGACTGTGTATTCGTTTATTATTATCGTTCATCCATTAGTTAAATTAGAAGTTATATTGGTCAACATCACGTGATTTTTCCAAGTTTTATTTTTTGGGTCAACTTTTGTTTCAATAAGAGTCTAGTTTTTTATGTCCAGGTTCGTTTTCTTTGGTATATGACTGTTAATAATTAGGGATGGGAATGATTCGGTTCGACTATTACTATCGCGTTTTGATCTCAAGCTTAACCACAGTTTATAATTTTACCATATTTTTATTTTTATAATAAATGAAAAAAGAATTTAATTTTTAAACGTCACTTCATCAGGTGATTTTTTAAAATACCCAATTGAAGTTTTCATTATAAATATGGCTAAAATATTCACCTACTTTTGAAGTAGTTTCTAATGATTTGTGAATTATTAGGAATTTGAACGATCGATGCTGTTGATGATGATGAAATGGAAGGTATAAGTGTAATGTCATTATTCGAATTGAATTATTGATGAAATATTATTACCAAAAATTGAAGTTGAAGTGGTGAAAGCGCAGCAATATCAACTCTTTCGTGAAAAAAAAAAAAAGATTTTTTAAGGAACATATAACTTAATCTTGTTAAACTGGAGTTTTTGAATTGGATTGTGGTGATATTGACGGTGGTAGCAATAATAAGATGTCAACACGCAAAGCAATCAACCAAAGAAAAAAGGAAGAAGAAAAAGAATCGAAAAGAAAATATTAATTTTATATCTAAATAATCATCGATCATACAGTGAACTCTTCCTAAATACAACTCGCCGAAGACATAGAAAAAATCAATCGTTATGTGCATTTATAGAGAGAGTAAAACATATAGATAGAGGTCTTATAATTTGGACCATATCAGGCTTGCATTTAAAGGAAGCAAAACGTAGTAATTGCATCTAGGAAGATTCAGATTATGAAACTACTTGGAGGTTGTCCAATAAAATTATATCAAACACTCTTACGTTCTAACTTTCTACTCCTTGTTGTAACAATACTTATTAGGAAATTTTTTGTTCTCCTTTTAGTTCTAATCGTGCAACAAGGGATTTTATTTACTGTTGCCACATTTGGTAGAAATGATTGCACCACTTCTTTGCATAAAATTTATAAAATTTGTTATAACAAAATGTCATCATCAATATCACCTTCAACAAGTAAATCACAAAAAACCAAATTAATTTCCATGGCAATCAAAACTCTACCACGGAATTTTGCGCAAAAAATCAGAAACAAAAAACATCAACCTCCTTCACTCATCACTGATCCCTCACTATCACCACCAGTAGTCAATCAATTGTCATATACTTCACCGCCACCTAATGTAACTGTAAAACTTCAAAATAAAAAAAAGAAAAGTCGACCTAAAAGTGGAAATTTCACGCTTACTACACAGACTTTAACTAATGTGCTGTTCCTTAGATCACGTAACCGGTCCTCATCTGCTTCTTCAGACCGCAATAATAATAATAATACAAACACAAGATCTTCAGTAACATATGAAAGTTTTCCAGATCCAGATCCAGAAGACTTCGTTAATGTATATTCCTGGGATTTACCGGACTCGATATCAGCAACTGAGGATGCTGGAGGGGTATTACAAATGATCGAGTATGATGGAATGTTAATTAATGGAATACGCGTTAACTAGTGCAATAATTTTTATAAAGTTGGTCACGAACTTATTTATTCCTCATAGGCATGGATTATATATATATATTTATACTTTAAATTTTTTCTTTGTATTTACTTTTTTTTTCTTCACCTTTTCCATTGTACAAAATTTATCATATCTATATTTAATGAAGGGATGCATTTTTGGATACTATATATACACTTATATATAATATACAAATATCATCATAAAATAATTAAAACCATAGTAATAGTAATAATAGTAAATAGTATTTAAAATAAACAATTTAATAATTGTTTAGAAATAATTCACTTAATTCCAAAATTTATCTAATTAACAAAATCCTTTCAATTATATGTATGTATATATATATATATACAGATTTATGTTCTTCAAGTTTTCATATTAATAAAATATTTGACATTATCATTATTTACCTATTATCATTAATAGTTCCATTCCAAGTTGTTTTGATCTGATATTTTTAAATCGCAGTTTAATTGCGTCTTAATTCAGCTCCTTCACATATTTTTAATTCTTCATTCACAAACCATCCAAGTTCAAACTCATTATTATTATCACTAAGGAGATTATCAAAAATTTCATCATCATCATCATTGTACAAAGGTAGTGTATGTTTGTCTCTAACCTAAAGAAATTTTAGACATAAATTACCTGTCATTGTCTTAAAACCACCAGATACCAAAATTGTTCAAATAAATAAATAGTTTTGATATATTTGCCGTTGCTAAACCTTATTCAATGTGAGTTGCTTACGGCCAAAGTTCGATCAATAGTTTTCTCAATGATTGCTAATGACACTATAATTTCATTTCCCATTGATTATTGTATGATAATATACAAAAAAGGAAAAAGTTGAGCAAATCATTGTTTAAAAATTTGATCGTCATCGTCTTGACTTTTCATTTAATAACTTCTTTATGTACTTAGTCGAAAAACTTCTTTTTCCAATTTTTTTTTTGGTTCAAAGTAAAATTTTCAGGCATTCCTTCTTTGAAATTCTCAAGTTTTTGTATTGTTATTATACTGTTATATTGTTTCATTACTTTTCTTATTTCAAATTGTTATTATTATTGTCTTCTTTTGATCCTCTTTGCAAGAGTTGATTCTTTTTTGGTTTTGTATCTTTTTTTATTATTTGTTTTATATTTTTTCTTATGTGTGTCTCTTTTCCCTTAGTAAAAGAGAACAATTCGGACCGATACCCTTTTAATTCCTATTTCTTCTGATTGTTGAATGATTCAATCTTTAATTTACTAATTCTTCATCGTTATTATTTTTTTAAATCTTTCCTTCTTTTGGTCCTCATTCCAATTTATCGAAGATAACTATATGGTTTGTAGTTGGTAATTTGATATCAAAATCATTTCTTAAGGATACGGTATCTCACGTGACCATTAATTAGTAAATCCGGCACAAACTACAACATAAACTCATGGTTACGATCTAAAAAAATAGCAAGAATAAGTATAAATACAAAATATTCAAGTTATTCCTACCATATAAATTGTTGTATCAAGGAATTTTTAAATAAAAAGTTACTTGTTAGCGCCAAAAATATGTTTTTGAAGTTATTTCACCATTGCTAAATATTGTAATGAGCAATTTGCCTATAGAATATGCTATATGGGGAGTTTGGTAAATATGATTTAGTATTTAAAAAAAAATCTCTTCTTATATATAACTAATATGCTTTTTTAAAAAAGGGGTGATGAGGCAAGTTTAGCCAGTGCAGAACAGAAAGGATCATTTAAGTATGCACTTGGGCCAGATTTTAGAGTTGTTATATGAATAAAAAACAAGCCCATTGAGTTTGCATATCTCGAAACTGGTCAACAAGACTTTTTTGAAGATAAGCAAATACGAGATCACAAAAAGCTCAATAGACTCTCAAAAGATTCCATTGATCTCACAAGGAACCTCAAATATGAAAGATTGTTCAGGAAAACAGCAATGAAAGATATATTATCGATATTTACTATTAATGTTGTTGGGGAAGCATTGGAACTTTGATGCATGGACCTAAAATATATATATAAAAATTGCCTGCTTGAATGAGCAATTATCCCATTACATATAATGCATACAGATCTGGAGAACATTTACCATATTATTCACACATTTTTAACTTTCAGAACTGAAATAATATGTACAATATCCAAAATAATGGATACTCATGATGGAATAATGTCAATTATATCTGACTCGTTACAAGCATCAACATTAATGATGCCATCTGTAAATAGTTTGGCCATTCTGTAATATGACAACTTTTTGAGTATGCAGTTGTCAGAAAATTTGTAATATGTAAGTATATCCGTAATTCTGTAATTCTGTAATATGTAAATGTATCTTAATCTGTAATTCTGTAAATACATTATGTAATTGGAAGCTATAATCATGCAATTTGCACAATGTAAATCATAAGCTTTATTTATAAACCTTTAAATTTAAAAAATTATAACTACATTATTATATATTATAATCTTCAAACCAATTAATTCATGAGCTACTTCTATGGGATCATAATCATCACTTCAGTCTCTTCATTAAAAAAATCCACATCTAATACTTCTATTTGCATTGTTTTCATTAAGCATTTCAAAAACACAAGAATTAAATGAAAAAGAGTTTCAATTCTTAATCTCATCATAAAGACATTAAGAGATGCATATAACTCACAAAAATATAACCCAGCTCTCCAAAAACTCTAAACCTTGGCACAGCATTAAATGAGCGATAAAGCATTTCTTTTCACTGTTTATGATGGATTTTTAAGAGATGATTCCATACAACAACTTTTCATTCCTCTTGCACCATTTCTTGAAGATTATTTAAATTCAACAGGTGATGGATGTTATTCCACCTTCTATTTCAAGAAGAAAATTAGAATTGCATTGTGATTTTTATGTAATGTCAAAATTAACAAGTATTTAGCACAGAAATCAGGGAATGATGATACACTTTTGAAAGATCAATTATGTTATTAAGTCATGCTGTTGGATACATAGAAAGTGCAAAAGAATCAAATGAAATGAAACAAGTGTAATTGGTCTATTATAAAAATATCATGGAGAGTTCAAGATTGCACAAATCCAATTTGACATATTACAAGATATAAAAAAAGCCAGAAGAGTACAATCATTAATAAAGCTACCTATTTTGGAAAACTGAATCAATATCACTACTTGATCAATATCTTTTTGATGCAAAAACTTTGTTAAATGATTTTATGATTTAAAAGAAAGAAATCAGAGTTGATGCGAATTTGTATCTGGTCATAAAAATCCACATTTACAAGAAAAATTTATTTAAACAAAACATTATTATGTATAAGAATATATTTTTAATATTTGCTTACTTGTATGTATGTATTTATCATCTTCATCATCTTCATTATATTATAGATTTAAAATCCATGATCCAATTTTGTTACAAATTTCAATTCTTGCAAGAATATTTCTATTAAAATTATTATGGTGAGAAATTGTTCCTGGATTTTTGTAATTGTTTAATAAAGAAATAAAATCATCATCTAAAAAAATCCCTTTTAATGAATTAAGCAAATGTGGTGAAATAAATAATGGAGAAGGAGTGGAAACTGTAAAGCGTAGTGAGACAAAGGTTTAACAATAAATAAAAATTTGTCAAAGATAATATAATGACAAATAATAATAATATTAGTATTTTCATAATAGTTAAGGATATCATCATATAATTCCTTGTTTAAAATCGATAAAATTCTGAATAGGAGTCTATCATTTTTTGCTGATATTGCAAAACTTAATATTGGAATTTGAGATGAATTTTCAAATCCATGATCATCAAAGATTATATCATTATTGTCATATGAATTAATTAATTTTATTGAACAATCCAAGTCTTTTGATTGAAATTCTTGTGATTTTTTATCCTATAATAGAAGAATGTAAACAAATTAAATAATGTAAACATTATAAATTGGTATATAAAGAAATAATTAAACAAATTACTAACTTTTGTGTTTCTTTCAAAAACATTTAAATATTGTTCAAATAAAAATTGCAATAAAGAATCATTCCATTGAAATATTGATGAGGATGTTGATGTAAGTGTTAAATAAGAAAAGGACGGAAGAAAATTTAAAATTTCTTTGGGGAAAACAAATAAATAAAATCAAAATATTAATAATGTTAAATACGTATGCATACACATTGAATATATTTGGCAATAGAAAAAAAGTTACCAGATAAATAAATGAAACATTACCATCCTCATTAAATTTATCACTAGTCACAATTTTTTCTACGCACAATAAATTTTCTACATTATTGTCTTCCAATTGATAGCAAACGTGCGCACCAATCTCTGAACTGCTTGTGATAAAATCAATTGGTAGATCTATTAATGAAATCAAATTCCCTTGATGTCCTGGGTGAAGTTTATGGATTAAACTTGAACATGATTTAATTGAGGAGACTGAATGTCCTAGTTGATTTTTAAGATAAACATATATATGTATAGAAAAGATGCTTTTCCTAATGTATGAACGAGTGCACAATAATATTATTTAGTTGATAAAATAATATTAGAAATTTAACTAGTTATAAATATTCAACTCACATATTTTTATTTTCTATAACAATTTTCAACAAAACTTTGTCATTATTTTTCGTGCTACCAAAGCATAATTTTGCTTCCTTAATCTCAAGCAAATTCTCTTCACTTTGACCAATAAAATCTTCTTTGGCATCTTCTTGGTTTATTGGTGTTTTTTGTATGAGTGGAATCAACCCAGAAATAAATTTCCTGGGATATTTTTTATTTTTGGAAGGTTGATTACAATGAGGAAGAAACAAATCATTAAATTCATGGATCATTAAGTCACTGTTCTCCAATATTTTATATTTTTTATCAATCTAGTTTTTTTTAAAAAAAAATAATGGTAATAATATTTAAAATATTTATTAACATTTTTAGACAATTAGATGGCAAAAGATTGAATATTTAATTTAATTACCAATTCTTCACTTTTCCTATTTCGTGAATTTCCATCATAATCTCTGGTGATCAAAGACTCAAGAAGTGCTCTTAAATGAGAAATATTTACCTCTTGTATAAATATTTATGAGTATGTAAATATACAAAATCAAAATATATATGGTTGTTAATTTTTTTAATTGGAAAGTTTTATTCTTAAAATAATACCATTTGTTAAAATTTTTGAAAAGTCAGTCTGTGAGTCATGATCCTGTATATCAATTATTTTCCAAGACAACGAGTGATTAGAAGATGTCTGAGGAACAAGCAAGAGATCATTATATCCAATCTTGGAGAATTCACCAATAATCAAAGTTTGATCACCAAAAAATTCTAAAATTTCATAAATACATATTAATTGTTAATAGTAAAAAAGAATCACACAATCAATCGATCAATTAATAATTTTACCATGCAAGATCATCCCATTTTCAGAATTCATAATTATTAGATTATCATTTTCCAATTGGATAATTAATGCAATGAAATCTGTATTTATAGTCGATACATTTATCTTGACTTCAGTTCTATAAAATTATTAAAATTGCAAAGAAAGAATTTTTTACTTACAATAATGAAAATCTAAATTAATTGAAAATGTAACTTACATCTTTTTAGGCACACTGATGACATCCACACACCATTTTGGACTTATGTATTGCTGATTATTATTATTTTTGAAACATATAACTTGATTTTGAGAAGTGCCTAGCCAAACAATTTCTTCATTGGTTATTTCATCAGAAAACGACAAACAGGTCATGATTCTCAGATAACACTCGGGAATTGTTGGTAAAAAAGTAGATTCTGATTTATCAGGACTTTCAAATAAACATGCTTTAATGTAATCATTGAACAATGGGCTATAAATTACACTTAATGACTTATACAAGTCATCATAATGATTGTGTGGTAGTGTGAAACCATAGACATGTTTTGTTGACAATTCTAGTATGTACTTGTCATTACAAGATAATTTTGGTTGCCATAAAACTATGTAAGTGTTGTAATTTGCCTCAAATGAATCAAAAATGTCAGAATGATTTGTTGAAATGTCATGGTATACAAATATAATACTGGGACCATCCAAAATGATAACATCTATGAATGATAATTTTTTTATGATTACTTGTGATTATTTATTTTTGAAATAAATAATCAATCCATCAAATAATTAATTGAAAATGACTTGCCATAAAATGATTTTTTGGGTGATAGTTCAGAATTTTCCAATTGAATTTCCCAATATTCTGCTTCATTCCCAATTTGATGTAATTGGAAATAAGTCTTATTTGAATCACTAATTAACAAATAAGGAGAATTTCTTTTTATTTCAAGAAAAAAGAAAAAATACTTAGAGAAGGATAAAAATGTTTTGATCAAAGTATGAAATTATATTTGTTTTTTACATTGCAAATTCAATGTCGCTTGTAGTAAACAATGAAATAACAACAAAATTAAAATTAAATCGTTCATACTAAAATTTTATTTATAAAGTATTATTTTATTATTTTATATTATGTGATTTGCAATATAGCTTGGGAAAAAAAAATTTACTTACTGGCAATGAAATTTTGGTTTCACCATGTTTAAGCCAACTTAATTGTTGAGAATTTCTGTCAACGGAAAAATATTCAACTACAACTGAATATTTGACATTTTCATCCACAAAGGTTCTTATGACGAAATCTTCAAAAACTGTATATTTAAACTGTTTCAAAGAATCATCAGTTGTAAGAGAAGCCAAAGGATAATAATGCATTTTCATTTTTTTTTTAATGACGACACGTCGCGCGAGTAAAAGTGGGGTTATAGGAGGACTGGTTTTTTTAAAAAGGGTACATTTTAGGAAAGTAGATCAATATAAATTTGTTAAATTTGCTGGGATTTTAAAAATCATATTTTATCTTCCGACAAAAGACTTCATCATGGGATTTTTCAATGGGTTGTTTTCATCTTACAGCTCTCTATATAACGAGCCTTTCTATATAACATTCACTAAGTAAAAACACGCTATAACAAGCTTCTCGTTACAATTTTTATGATGTAAAATCTTAAAAATTTTTGTGATGACGATCCTTTTCATGCTTCTGAAATTGTGATTTAACAAAATATTTGATTTGCTTGATATTAAATGCTAAATGTTCAATGTTTAATATTTATTGTTCAATGTTTAACGCTATACAACGCTTTTAATTCAAATCTTATATTGTATATATAGTTTTTTATTATTTTAATTCCAATTTAATTCTGTTTCTTTTTCAGTGGTAGAATGTAATGCCGATTTTAACGAACTTGAAATCATCGAATCATGAAAAAAAAATCTTAATATTGTTCGTTGTCACTAAAGCAGCACCTACAGTTTTCGGGAGGATGGCTTACTTGATACCCTGTTACCATTATTTTTACCACTATTTGGTTATCTTTCTTTCTCCAAGGAATTGAAAGCCACATGCTTCGAATCAGTTTCTGTAAAGTTTACTACAAATTATACATATTTTTTGTCTCTTTGAAGTAATATCGAGCCTAATACTAATTGGAAGATGGTGTTGTAAATTTCATATATATATACGATAATTGTGTTAATTTATGACAAATTGGAAACAAAAGCAGACAATATGGACTTTGAAGGAAAATAAGAAAATGAAAAAGATTTAGAAGAAATAAGGAAATTGAAGCCACAGCTAACCTGAAAAAGATCAAAGGTATAAATACAAAATTAAAACGAGCAAACAATTTATTAATATTAAACATGCATTTTTTATTCTAGTAACAAGTTATTATTTATTCAGATTTCGCACATGTACCTTTCAATACATGCTTAGTTTTGGTTTTTCTAGGTGAAAATCCACAAATGAGATGTTGTCATGGATTATCGTTATTTCAATAATATCATTAATCCGTTATTAAATATGGTTGAAATGAAAAGAAAAAATAATTTTGCGCAAAAATTTATATCCAAGAAGAATAAAATAATCAAGATGAACAAGATAAATAGACAATTACATTTGGCTTTCATGCAGTCTTTTCACTGCTCTACTGGTTTCTTTGCATATTTAGAACTCGCTTTCTAGTTTGATTTGAACAGTTATTTAAGTAAATTATTGTAAAATGCATTAGCATTAGATATCACCTTGATATTTTTGGACCTTTTGCAATAAGATAACACACAAGTTTCGCCACCAAAAGTGACAAATCATCATGAAATCAAAGAAATCGAAATAATAATAATAATAATAATAATAATAATAATTGATAATAATGATAATGATAATAATGATAATAATGATTATGATTATTAATAACAAATAGTGATATAAATTTATACGTATCTGAATAATTTTCTGTTAATATATTTTATTCAGTAGAGCGATAGATGAAAATAAAAGATCGGGGGAATAGTTCATAGTAAAAAATATTACCTCATAATTGTAACTTTGGAAAACCTTCCAAAAAAATATTATATTTTGGGTAAATAGAATGAATAAAAAATTATTTCGTTGACTTTTGATGAAAGGATTCTAATATTCATAAAATGCGTTAATTTAAAACTCACATTGGTAGGTATTTAGAGCAACTTTTACATACAAACTGTGCGTAATAGTAAATAGCGGTAATAATAAAATAAAACGGTTTCTGTTTGAAACGCACATAGGCCGGTCAATATTAGTACTTCTACATAGCATATAATACAGAAGTTGGTTGTTCTTTAAATAATGCAATTTTTATACATACAGTACCTGGACAAAAGTATCGGAACGCTTGCTTTTGTTGATTGCGCAAAAATATACATAATAAACATATATGAAATTTATATCATTTGCGGTTTAGGTTCTTGTGAATATCTATGGAAAATCCCATACATCTAAGTTTCGCAGAACTCAAATAAATATATGAAAATGAAATTCGATTAAATTTGACAATCAAAAATTTTTGACATGATGTTTTTAGAAATTGTCCAAGAACCTACATAGTAATATGTTTTGGAAATTTTGTATATGAAAACCCAAGTTTGGTGATTCTGAAAAATTATTTTTTATTACATATTTTTTAAGAACTTTTTTTTAAAAAAAATTTTAAAAAGTTTTCAAAATTTTAAATTTCAAAAAAAAAAGTCTAATTTAACTGAAGCTCAACACGGGCAAATAGTTGGCCTTTATAAAAGTGGTGGAGCCTCATATAGAATTATTTCTAAAATACTTGGCTTCCCACCACAACAGTATATCGTATTAGAAGTCGTCCAACAATCTAAGAAATCTTAAACTTGAGGCTACTTTAAAAGAGGAATGGAATAAAATTCCTCAAAATTTTTTAATGAATTTGATTGAAAGCATGCCTAAGTAGAATTCAGGCTTATATAAAGAGCAAAGGATACCCAACTAAATATTAAAAATAGTTAAAATTTTAAATTAAAAATTATTACATAGAATTTGAGAATAAAATAAAAAATTTCGCATCAGAGATTTAGTGATCGTCAAAGAAAATTTTAATCAAATTTCATTTTTATGTTTATTCGAGTTCTACGGAACCTAGATACATGGGATTTTCCATAGATATTCACAAGAACCTAAACCGCAAATGATATAAATTTCACATATGTTTATTATGTATATTTTTGCGCAATCAACAAAAGCAAGTGTTCCAATACTTTTGTCCAGGTACTGTATGTGAAATAATTTTGACAAATGTATTGTCATTATAATAATAAACATAATGTAACAACTAGTTGCTAGAAGTTTGAACCTGGAAGCTCTATTTGTTTAAAATGATATAAATATTTATTTTTTTAAAAAAGTATTTCAATGGCCATCTTTGTTTCCTTCTCCATAAATGCATAATAATAATATTTTTTAAAAAATAATAATTTTATACTGATAAAGTTTGTTCAAAACAGCAAGATTTTGATCAACATCGACTTCCAACTGTTCTACATGAATAAAAAGTTTACTTAAAAGATTATAAATATCTTCATTACTAATGTTACTACTATTAATATTATTATTGTAATGACCATTATCAAAAGCATGATTTTGTGATAAATTGTTGTTTGCAAAAATCTTTTGATTTATATGTTTTTCCATTTGATCAATACATTTTTCAAGACGTGCCAAGAGTCAAACAATATTATTATTGCTTTTGTGAGAAAAAGAAGAAGGATAATTTAATAACGGAGTCGAGACTGAAGGTTTCCTATTGTTACTGCTGGCAATGGCAAATGTGGCATCGACATTTGCAGTAGTATTGGTGATGTTGGTAGCGGCAACAATATTTTGATAGTTTGGAAACGTTTGAGTATTTTGTGGTGGTGGTAAGGTTGTGGGCAAAACCTCCTTAGTAATTGCTGAAACCACGGCAAAACTATATTAAATCTTATCAAAAATCCTGTTGAAACTATGCTGAAAGGCGAAACCTCAAAATGTGAAACTCTGCCGAAACTCTAATAAACAATTAATGTGTAACCTGCCGAAACCCTGCTGATTGATTTCTGGATGAGTTTTGGCAAGCAACCTTAGGTGGTGGTGGTGGTGAATATTGATTTGTATTATGATAATTTATAGTATTTTCTAAAATGTTTTTATTGAAATGTTGTTGATGAAAATTATTGGTTAGAGGAAGTGTAGAATAATTATAATCACTCATACTTATAATAATATTCAATTTTATGTTTTTTATTATTTTTGTTTTTTTTTTTATTCTGTGTATATATATATATAAATATATATTTTTGAATGATTTTTATTTTTTTTTATTTTATAAAATTGAGGTTATTTATATGATAAAATAAAACATGATTTTATTATTGTTGTCAGAGCATTTTCCCTTCAGAAAAAAAACAATAATAATAATACAGTCAAACCTCGATAAGCTGAACTTTTGGGAATCACAAAAATAGGATCGGCTTATCAAAATTCGGTTTATGATACAAATAGGGCTGGCAGCGTAAAGGGTTAAAAACCTAATTTAGTAATAATCATCTTGACTAAACTTAACATATGACTAAATAGTTTATTCAGTTTAGCTAAATACTCATTTGAGTTACACAGCCCTGGATACAAAACGATTTTTATTGATTGTTCAAAATGAATTTGGCTTACAACGTTATAATATCCTCGTCTTTTATTAGAACTTGACATGGTAAGTAGAATTGTTGGGTGATTGACCATGTTTAAACCGAATTTTATCATTATAAGACGAATTTTTAAAACCAGTTTATGATCATATTCGGCTTAGAAAGTTATATTTTTATTATTTTGTACAAACCATTAAGTTCGGTTTATCAAGTAAAGTAGGAATTATAATAAAATTTGGCTTAATGAAATAATTTTTATTAAATATGATTTGGTTAGCCAATTTTGTATTGCGAGCGTGCAATCCGAGTTTCCTACTTAATAGGTTATTTATAGCTCAACACACAGCCTCCTCGCTGACTTACGGTTGATTCTATTGTTTGACACACAGCCTACTCGCTGACTTACTGTCAATTTCCTTTATTTATATATATGACACACAGCCTACTCGCTGACTTACGGTCAAAAATTAATAAAAATATAACTCTTATCTTTTCTGGATAAGAGGGTCCCTAGGTTCTATATATGTAATTATATCCCAAAGGCGTCCCCTTGAGATGTCTCTTGATAGTTAAGATACTTGATAACTGCTATGGGCAGCAAAGGTTTATTTATTAATTTAGATTATTATTTTCAGGGTAAAATATGTTATGTGTTTTATTAACGATAATAATATTATTATTACAGTGTGTTAGGAAATATTAATTATTAGATCAATAATTAAAAGATTGTTATGAACATGATTCTGACTTGGTCTAAAACCAAGCCTATTTATACCTCTTGAGGTATTACAAATAACATGACTTTTACTCTAGTTTGTCCAATAAACTATGCTTATTAATATAAAATAAATATTTGGGT